AAAAAAAAAAAGAAATATGAAAAAAGAAAAAACTTGAGTATTGGGATTCGAACCCATGACCATAAAATCGAAAAAAGGTTGGGACGATTCCCCCGAGACATTCTGTGAAGCTGAGGCGGCGAATCGATTTACATTCCGGTTAGAGATTTCGGCTCTTCCATGCTATCCCGATAATTGGTCCTAACTTCGCGCTAACTAAAAAGCCAGTGAGGGAGAAGCTATCCGGCCCCTAGACACTGATGGATAACCCCTTGCACTAACTAGGCAACTATCGAAAGTATAATGTCAAATTGGGGTAGTCTATTCGGTGAATGTGTCAAGTGGTCTATTATTATGTAAATGAGAGTGATCCAGTGGCGCACCGCGTTAAGGCGCCGCTTGCAAATCCAATGTAGGTTTGACGGTAGAGGGATCGATTCCCTGGAGGARACGTTTAATAATTTTGTTTTTTCCTTTTTATTTAATTTATTGTTTATCTTTTTTTTATTTATTTATTTTTGCATAATTATTGTCATCTCTTGTGTTTCACTTTCCCGAGAACCGTCTTTTTATACGAAGTGGATATATGATCGGCTCCCGTTCAAAGTCTTCGATGTACTAACATGCTAAATGAGTGCTAGTTTTGTTTTGGCAAAAAAAATCTTTTATATCTTTTATTAGCAATCTAAAAAAAAGATGTCGATTCATATTATAACGTTCTATTTCGAGCAGCTGTAGCTTCTTGTCGCACTTAGCGTGACGAAGGGTCCCGCTCAATTAAGGTCTTYGATGCACTAAATGAGCGGGAGTTTAAAAATGTACAAACAAATCCCAAAAATACTATCTAATAATTAAAAAATCTTTTGTAACTTTATTATCAATCTAAAAAAAGATGTCGATTCAATATTGTAACGTTCTATTTCGAGCAGCTTTAGTTTCTTGCCACACTTAGCGTGACGCAGGTTCCCCCTCAATTAAGGTCTTCGATGCACTAAATGAGCTACTCTGCGAATAGAGCATTTACAAAAAAATTTACAAAAAAAATTACAAGCGCGCGACTGCATCGGAGTTGACTGTCCTTCTGAGGGACAAAACTGAATCACGGCTCACGCTATAAAAAAATATTCATGCCTCATGGCTAATTTTTTCGCATTTTCACGACTAACAGCTAATTTTTCAGCCGTTTCGCGGCTCACGGTTAACCCCATTGAGACCCTCAAGCAAATGTCACCCGATGTGTGGCAATAAGTTTAGCTTCGGTTTTTTGGCTTCTCTTTTCACGTTATTCACTGTTCCACCTCAAAGGAATTTATTAAAACTGGGCCAGATTGTGTATTATGTTTATGGGGATGCTAAAATTTTCATCCAAATGCAACAGGCTAATTTTCGGCTGAAAAGTCGAGTTTTTATGTAAATAGCGCAGGGGCGGATCCAGGGGGAGGTGCTTTGGTGCGGACGCAACCCCCCTCTATTTGGACGACGTAATTTTTCATATATCAGTTTAAACGTTTTTTGTACTGCTGTTTATACTCTTGTTGTACTTGTATCGAGAAAATGAACTGTATAGACAACATGTGTCTACCACTACGCTGCTTAACAGTCTATTTGATTAGTGTACACAAAGATACGTTAATAAAAGACAATTTACTTCCGGTCAAATCGTACATAATTTTCTTGCTCTAGACAATACGCAGCTAACAAAAATGATCTGTTCCATCTGCTGTACTTAGGTTTTAGCTATATATTACTGACAAAAGCATCCCCCCCAATGCACCACCACCACCACCTTATAAAATGCTGGATCCGTCGCTGCAGCGCATATGTAAATCACTAATTAGTTACATAAAATACAATTATAACGTATCAAAGTACAATTGCATACAATTACAAATCATAAAATTGAATACAATGGAAAAGTTACCTTGTTACAGTTTTTCCAGTCGAGCGATAGTGGCTAGTGATAGTGGCTAGTGATAGTGGCTAGTGATAGTGGCTAGTGATAGTGGCTAGTGATAGTGGCTAGTGATAGTGGCTAGTGGTCACTTAATAATAAATGTCAGGTAATAACTATTTACATTTTATAAGCATAGTGTAAGAATTATACCTAGTAAACTGACCGATTGATTGACGCATGTCTTTAGGAATGAAGGTCTGTTATACCAAATACGGCTGTTTCTCAGACGATCCGCCTTTCGATAACGTCATGATGTCCTTGCCCAACAACCCACAAAACATTGCGACAGAGTTTCTTTTCTACGCACCAAACACCACTAATCTTCCTCAAAAGATTCGCGGAGGACTAGATTCTAGTCTAAAAATCATCATAATAATTCATGGCTTTCTTCAGAGCGGACGCGTTCCCTGGGTACAAGAGTTACGAGAGGAATTGATGAGAAAAGAAAAAATGAATGTAATCGTGGTGAACTGGGAACGTGGGTCCAGTGCTCTAGGTACATACAATGCTGCCGCTGGTAACACACGTCTTGTAGGGTCCCAATTGGCTGAGTTACTGCTACGTCATGATTACGACATGTCTAGAGTTCACGTGATTGGTCATAGCCTTGGTGCGCACGTGGCAGGTTTTGCTGGAGAACAAGTAAGGAAGGCAGGGAAAACGATAAGACGAATAACAGGTAGGGTCGTTTGACGAGCGCGTAATCGCCTCTTGTTCGTTGTTACAATTTAGCTGGGTGATTGATTTGCGACCAGGCCTGCATATGAATTCGCCAARGTTGTAAGCCAGTGAGCCCGTGCATTTTTGTTAAGCGGTCATATTTGAAAGTGTAAATAAAGGAAAGGAAAAACCCGCAGCTCTCCTTTCACTCAGACAAACATTACAAGTCGTGTTAAATTTATTTACATAACTAAACAAAATGATTATAGAATTAAACCTTTAAGAATTGAATGCTCATATCAAACATTTTCCACCTTAAATACACACGTGTTTTTCAGAAGGGAATTTAGTCGAACTTTTTTCACGATGGAATTTTGTTTTGAGTCGTTTCAACATAAACAGTCGCTATCAAGACATTACGTGAAAAACCCCAGTCACCGTATTAGCTCTCGTTGTAAGGTCAAAGCTAGTAAATGTGTAACCGACCTGTTACATAACGTCAACCTGTTGTATCGTCGAGCACGCTTGCGGCTTATTGCCGAAAATGCGACAAAGGATGAACTAYGACTGTTGTCACTACCAAAAATAACAAACGCTATAACTCTATTGGAATACGTGGAGCTAAGCTGCTCTAGCTCTTTCAGTGACGTTGTAGATACCTCAAAGCATAGAGGAAACAAGAGCTAAGAAAAAGGATTTGCAATGGTTCCTCCTAAGATACTTTGGACTTGAACYTCGCTTCAACGACCTTCTGAAGTCTTCGTGAAGTCGGCCATTGCTTCGCATGCAATGGAGAACCCGCGTAGAACACAGAACAATTATTTTTATCAGGGAGGGGAGTCTCTTGGTATTAAAGAAAACATTATTTATTATTTAAATTTTAAGATAAAATTCTATTTCTATAACGATAAATATTTGATTGACATTTAATAAAAGCTATTTTATAAAGATTTTCAATTTCTCTTTGCGTTTTAGCTTTGATTTTTCGGATAGAATAAAATGGCAGGCAGCCTACTCCACTGGGTCGAGTTTTGCTGTGCAAATTCCTCCCGTCGGGGGGTTATGTTTACAACATAAGCTTGTCAGCTTTGCGCTGATTGGCTAGTCGCATTTTCTCAAATCACCCAGTTATGTATGGGAAGTCCAACCATGACAGCGCAACCACTCTGTGCCCATATTACACAACAACCTCAATGAAATTTCTGMAACGTTTGTAATTTCTTATTAGTATTTATGTGTAGGTTTGGATCCAGCTCGTCCCGGCTTCGACCACGATGAAGCCGTCGGGAGGCTGGACCCTAGCGATGCAGACTTTGTTGATGTGATTCACACAGACAGCGGAAGAAACCTTCTAGAGGGGGGATTGGGACTGCACCGTCCGTGCGGTCACGTGGATATATACCCCAATGGAGGACAGTCGCAACCTGGATGTGATTTCGTCGATAACTTGAACGGTACTCATATACACTGACACTACAGTTGACAAAACGATGACTGCGAGACTATGAATGATAGCAAAAACTAATTCACTGAGGCAATAACAATGTAATTATGGGATGCGAAGCTCATGTATGCAGTGCGCTTAATCCTTCAAACAAATACTTCTAATCGCGCTACTACAAAAGAATTGGCACTCAGATGTTTTTACATGTTGAGTTTCGTGCAACAAATAGCGCCTGTACATTCCTGCCCGTTTCTTATTGGATTATGCAGTGCATGCGCATTCTTCCTAAATATTTCATAATACATTTGACTTATTTTTCATCCTATTTTAGGTGTTTTAGACAAAATTTCTATTCTCAGAGGGGAATTTCCTTTGCCATGGGTGTTCGCTTGCGACCACATGAAAGCAATCAGCTACCTTATCAGCTCCATCAACAATAACTGCTCGCGCCTGGCCTTCCCGTGTAAAGACTGGATATCGTTCACGAAGGGAAAATGCTTTAACTGCAAAGGTGCATGCGCAGAGATGGGATATAACGCTGATGAGTCTGCCGTCCAAAGGAATTCCTCACAGAAGTTTTATCTTTCTGTAGACAGCAAAAAGCCGTATTGTGGTAAGCTGTGCTTTGATAATGTTTCATTTTAGTTGAATATAATCTATAATAAACTGTATATTCATGTAGCTGCGAGTGATTTCATCTCATATACCCGACAAAACATGCAATCTCAGTTCTACCATCAGAACTTTTACTGAGAACCCCAACACCCAGAAAGTGAAAAGTTAAAAAAAATAATAATAATAATAAAAAAATGAAAACAACAAAAATGAATATTATCAAACTTCTAATGCGCATGTGCATTGTTGTAAACTTGGGGGGTACTCCCATATATTTTCTATACGGGAACGTGCCGCTGGCCAGGATGCGGTTTTTGGCCTTTTTGGTCTTAAACTGGGTATACATTTCACCCGAAATTGTCTTAAACAATTTAGATAAAAGACCGTATAATTTTTTTGGTGTCTTGGACAGGGTAAATTTTCGTAAGAATACCGTAGAAATAGTAGAAATACCGCTTCACTGTRGCAGGATTAGTTAACGGTTATCAAAAACTACTGATGGATGTCAGTATAATTGCAGTCTTGATGGTTGCGGCGTAGATAGCTATTTGTTATTTTTCCGAATTGTCTTGAACAGGGTATGGATTTTTACTTTCTAGTGTCTTAAACAGGGTCAGGATTTTAGACCGCTGGCGGCACGTACCTATCCAAACGGGGGGAAAAAGCGCTAGAGAATCAGTTCAATCTTTATATCTGATAATAGACGTGATGAACATAAGTCGCTAGCAAACCAAAAGTACGCCTGGGAAGGTCATACGGCTCTGATTGGTCAATATAGACTTGCTACAAGTCGGACTCTCTTTGGACTCAGAAAAAAGGGATAGAACTCCGAGAGCGAAGCCCGAGAAAAAAAAAAGCGAGCGCGGAGAGTAAAAGGGACTTTGTGAAAGTCTATATGAAATAATATATAACGCGAACTCTAACTTGTCAACAAATTTTCTTTTTATGATACAAAGCATGCAAAAGTCTTAATTCATGCAATTTGCTTGATGTACGTGCTGATAGCCATAGAAACCTTGATATACCTACTTCTCTAACACCTTTCTTGTTTCTACCTGATGATTCGATGAAAATACGCGAGTTATCTTTTTGATAATTTTTACTTTAGCTCCTCTGAACTACCTATCTGTGACTCTTCATGACTTACGATTTGGAAATGGATTGCTGGATTCTTTGACAAGAAAGAAAATTATCATTAGATTGACAACAAGAAATGGCAGCAAAATGTCCACTGATTACAGGTAAGGCAGTTCACTCGCTAAAATGTTATCATGATATATACACTCATTGGACTACTGGGCCATACATTGCACGGACAATGGTCGACGCGTTCCGCATGCTAAGACCGAAATTGCACATGGCAGACTACATAAATAGAGTACTTGGATTATTTGCTGTTCTTACATGCAGTTTTTTTTTCGACGATCAAACCTTAAAATTTTTTTAAAAACTTATTTCTAGCCTAACTAGCAACATTGTACTTGACTTTGGAATCAGTTATAGAAACTAGAGATAGACGTTTGAAGTGATACCAATTTCAGTTTGATCACTCTTACCGTGGCAATGGTAAACTGCTTTTGGTTTGCAACTGTTTTCTTTTATCGAATCTCTCTCAAAATAAAATGGCACCTATATATATGATGTCGTTTTGCAATAGTCTGTAGTTAATAACTTCATTTATCCTTTGTTTTATAGATGCCTTTTTTAATATCAGGAAAAATAAAAATTTCATCCACAAAACTTTGACCATTGCTTTGTTAACCTTGATCAAGCTGAAAATGGCATATTACGAAACAGTTGCTACATGCTTCATCTTTATTTCTAATCAAGTACGTAGGGATAAGTTAAGGCTATAAACACGTTAAATGAAAATGAGAGATATAGTTGAAAAAACAAGTACAATGATCCACCATATACTAATCATAGTTTAATCATGGACCATCATGCACTACATTTCATTACCATACTTCCCATGCCACCCTTCGGTCGTAGCTTCGATGTTATAATTATAATGCCGTTACTCTAATTTAGTTATGTCGAAGACAATGTCAGCGAACTGAGTCGACTTATCGTCAGTGACATCACAACAGAAAGTTTAACATCCATATCAATTTTATTCTATGGGCGAACAATGTATGTTGGCCGTGTGACCGTACAGGGACCTGGATACAAGTAAGTATGAAGAATCTTAGTGTCAAGAATTCGATTCTCATACTCAAAAATTGATTACTTTTTCCCCTTCTTCTAACTGTTAAATTATCGTCGGTAAGTTATTTCGCCTACTTTTTACGGTGTTAAAATTTCATTTCACAACTGTTTCATAAAAGCACTTCTGTTTCAGGAGATTTTGGAAACATAGGGAAAGAAAAGTTTAATCACAAGAATCTATAGGCTCAGTCTCCAGCCGTCGGGATTTCGTGCGCCCGSGRTACTCTCTCCCCGGACGGCTGGGCGCATGGGGTTCGCTATTGTCAGTCTTGRCCAATCAGCGAGTGGCCCCCGATATTTTCAGGGGCATATCATTAATAAATTAGCAGGCAGCAGTGTAACAAAATGGCGGACAATTCGTCGTTTGAGATTCTCTTTGAAAGTGCTTGTTTGAAGGCTCTGAAGTCGTTTAGCTTGGACGAATTTAGAGAAATACAGCAAAAGGCTCTTAAAGAGATTRTTCTTGGAAARGATGTCCTTGTTATTCTTCCTACTGGCTCGGGCAAATCTCTTATTTTTCAAGCAGCACCACTAGTGTATTTTGCTCGTTTTTCTGGCAGATAATACATCCATTTGGATTATTAAACCCTACACATGTTTTACTTGGGGTAATTTCCATTCCTTTCTCTTTTTTAAAGCGCTAGCTATTACATTATATCGCTACTTCGCGAAGTTTTCATTTCACATAATTTCCCGCCTTGTAGCAAAACCWTTWCRGCTGYTGTCAGATATTTCACTTCCGTTCACTGAAAAATTCTTCCGTTACGTGATAATATGCTAATTACACAAAAACGTCACGGGCATGCGCGACACGTTTCGAACCCSATGCGCCCAGCCGTCAGGGGAGAGAGTATCGCGGTCGCACGAAATCCCGACGGCTGGAGACTGAGCCTAAAGAATCTACCGAATGGACCGAATCTCACTATGAGCCTACTTAAACACTTAGATGATTGCATAATTCCATTCTTATTTGTGAATCCTGTCATTTTCCCTCATTTTTTAGTTACACAGCTTGTTACGACACGTGGATGCATTCGTTCTTTTATTTCTGGGAATATACCAAGACCCTACATCGTGGAGATCACACCTGTCCAGACTGAGACTGGCATAGAGAAAATTTGGGAGCGGACGAAAATGAACACTTGATCATGAATGGAAACGAACACTGGATCATAAATGAAAACGAACACCGACTTGATCATTAAAGAATACCTAACACTTGCACATAACAGAATGAACTTACTAACAAGGGTCGTAATTTAMCTATAATTTTACGCATAATCTAATATGATTTTTACAAGCCTTCCTATCATGGAAAGTTCATGCTGCTGTTCCAAACCTTCACATAGACTACTGTAGCTTCAAACCACACTTTCGATATTGTTTGAATGGTCCCACAGAAAAGAATTCAAAACGAGGCTCCGGGGAAGAAAATTGATTTTGTATTGTTTGCCACAAGCTTTTCTTCTATTCTTTTGCGAGTGCTTCGTAAACGAATGTGAGCTATTACGATTTTGAACGGAAACGTTAGAGAATTCGAATCAAAATGTAATATGAAGAAGTGATGACATTGTTAATATTGTAACTGCGTATAAGTAATATCATGATAGAAGAGGTAAGATGTGTGGTTTGTACTTTCACAGTAAACAMTTCTTTTTATTGCCATCAACAACATCACTCGCGCGCATTCGTTTTATTTTTTTTCTGGGACTCGCACCACGACATGGTTAGTACTCCTTCAAAGGTCTCAAATTCCATGACTTTTTTTCAATGACGCAATATAGAAATGGCTGCCTGAATACGCGGCAGCACTTCATGTATGCGAAAAGTTACAATTTGGTAGTGCATCCAGCACTACTAGCTATTTTATTAAATTTATTGCATTTGTTTTAAATCTATTCAAGAAATAGTACTCGTAATTATAACATGGCAAACAAGAAAATTTTCAATGAATTTCCATGATCCTAGATAAAATTCCATGACTTTCCAGGCCTGGAAAACTAGAATATGAAATTCCGTGACTTTGCCAGATTTTCCAGGACCTGTGCGTACGAACCCTGCATGGAGATCAAACCTGTCCAGAGGTTGACTTGCCAGGCACGGACGTAACCCTGATATCTAGCACGAACGAACTCGAAAAACAACAGCACATTCGAACACGAATGAAACTGAATACAACTGATATTATCAATACTGAACTTTTTTTTCTTAAAACTAATCAAATACTTCAAAATTATAATTCAAAAACCGTAATATCCCTTCACACGTCACACAAATTAGAACGTCATGGAACATACTGGTCAAGCCAGGGGTTATTTCCAAGCCCATTACACCACTATTTCAAGGTAAAAAATGAATTTTTAAGGACGATTTTTGAAGATTTAGGAAATTTACGGGAAACATTCTGATTTCAATCCAAAAGTTAAAAAGAAAGATATCAATGTCATCATATTCAAGAAATATTTCAGGAGTTTCAAGAACTTTCATTTCAAGCCGACAGTACTGTAGCACGAAACTTGGTAATGTTGGTATTTTCCCATCAATCAATGTAGTCAATTTTTCATCATGTTGGTATACGACTTCTGAGGTATTCTAATAAAGATGGCGTTCCTTTTGCAAGAATGGCCGCACGAGGATTTCTGAACGAGTTCCCGCCGAGTTGTAACGCACGTAATGTCGTGACATTGCCGAGTTCAGGGGGAACCACAGAGATGCTGTTATTTTGAAGGTCGAGGGTTTCCAGCACAGGAAGACGCAAAAACCCAGCCACGTCAATGCTCTCAATCTGCGTACAAAACACACAGTTTTAACAAAAAAAGCAGCTAGTCTGTACGAATGAGAGAGAGAGAGTTCCAAAATACTGTTCGAGGCAATTCGAAAGGCCTTCAATATCAAATAAATCTGAGTTTCTTGAAATTGTTGAGTAATAAAATTTTGCACATTGAGGCGTTAAATAAGGTATCCCATTATTGATTTAAGGAATGAATTACCTTTTTTTTGAAGTACATTTACCTTATTGTCACTTGCTAGGATTGTTCTTATGGATGGTATGGAATATAACACCGAGGGAAGGCTCGACAATCTACCAATACAATAACAGCTACTGTAAACACCTACTTATATTAGAGCGTCAAACTGGGCATTGAAAAAAGGAGAGTAAAGAGCAAATGTAGAAAAGAGATTCAGCTATAATACCTGTTAAAGGATAATGTGACTTCTAACAGAGAAACCAGGCCTGATAGACTGGAAGGGAGATCACTAATCTGGTTGTTCCTACGATAGCAAAGCTCTTTATTAGTTTCGGTTATAGTTCTACATTTTGGTACTAAACTAAAATTAAGAGAAGAATGATGTAGGTCCAAAGTCAGTTGAAGATCATTTATGTATTTCCTTCAGATATAACGCTAACCCTAAGACGTGTTAATACGCTGCTCTTTTGGGACCTCTTTTAGTATTTAAGCTCAACATTGATTACTCTGTGTTTACCTCGAGGGAATACAGCAATTCACTGCGTACCTTAAATCAAGAAACTGTAACTTTGAAAAGCAGCCAAAACTGTCTTGAAGCGACTGGAATTTGTTAAAACCAAGATTGAGATCTGAAAGGCATTCGCTCAGTTCTGCAAGACTAAACGATGACTCCTTGTTAGTAAAACCTATTTTGATTGGTTGGGCGGAGTGTCAAAGATGCCCGGTGAAGTACGTGAATGGACGGATCAAGTTGATCTAATGACTGAGCAATTGCAGTTAGTAAGACTGTCCCATAAGCCAACCTGTTCAAAAAGAATGGATGGTTACATTGAACAATTGCTGTTAGTAAGACTAACCGATGTGGCAAGCTGTTCAATAGGTTTTTACTCAAGTCAACCTTTGTTACTCTTGCTGTTACAGCTGCTTCCATTACTTCATGCGGTATTTCACTTAGTCTTTTGTTGCTACACAAAAATGTCAAAAAACTTAGTTAGCACCTTTAAAATACATGTGAGCAAAGTTCATCATTTTATGGTGTGACCACACTTTCATAACCTATATGATCCCCCTTGGAAAGAGGCAAAACTTGATCCTACCTTCCCTCAGTAACATCTTGTACAAGTAAAATATTTCTTTTAGTAAAATAAGTATCCTTCATGGACCCCTTGTCTCTGTCCAGATCTGGCTCATGATTAAACAACATTCTGCTTGTAAAATCACTGACACTTAGCATAGCACAAGTGACCTCGAACATGAGTCTAGCACTACTTTTTCATTAGACTACATACCTGTAGCTAAGTGCCTTTGTTTGGGTCAAGGAATGTTGGTCAATGGTGCTGGAAGATCCAGACATGGATACATCTGGTCTGTCTGGTACTTTACTGTCAACACTGTCTGCTACACCACAAGGAGGCTTTTCTTCCTCTATTTACAAATGAATGAATGAATAGATGAGTGGTCATAAAATGAATGGATAACGGAATAGGACACATGAATTGATGAATCAATTAATTATTGTAATAGATGAACGAATGATATGAATGGATGGATGAATGATAACTTTGAAGAACAGATTTTTGAGGTCTGGACATACCTACTATCCTACTCTTCAAGTATTTCAGAATTGCTTGTGTTCCTCTCTAAGCAACAAAACAATTGACAGAAAGCTGCAGCATCAGTTTGCTTTGATAAGTTTAACTACTCAAATTTATCCAAACAAATGCTTAATTACATTAGGGTAACTAGAATGAACATATTTCAAAATTTATCAATTGTCATAATTGTTTCCTACCATTACAATGTCTCTTCTTAATTTTCGCAAAGGGTTCCCATCGAGGATGACTGCTTTTAAGTGCTGCATTGTACCCATTGTGAAAGGAAGACTGTGGGTAAAGAAATAAGACTTTTTAATAACATAACAACAGTACAAGGAAACTGAGGCGAAAAAAGGAAGAAACAATGAATAGAAGAATAACAGCAATAACTGACTTAAATCTGTCATTGCTCTGATTGAGGGAGGATCAGAAAAGTGCCTTTTATCACTCATGGTCACATGACCATTGAGAAAACATTTTGGATTACATCTATAATTTCATATCTATAATATATCAGCAACAATTTCCATTATATTATCATTATTAAATGCATAGTAGTACACTTGTCTATTATTAAACTCTATGGAATCCTTGTTTGTGTGTGAGTATCATTATTTTCAATTCTCCAGTTTGATTGAGATGTAATAATTTTGACAATATTGAAATCAGAAAAAAAAGTATTATATGAAAATTGACAAAATTCTTTATTAATACAATCAAATGAGAGCAAGCTATACAACATTTCTTGTAACATGCAATAGCCATTTTGCTTGATCAATTTGGAACACAGGCTTAAAGGCAAAATGGAAATAAGACACAATAAACAGGAACTTTACCTTGAGATTTCATTGTTTGATAAATCAATTCTTTCTAATTCTGATAAAACTGTGATTTCATCTGGGATTCTATAAACAAGACATTGGTAACTTTTTCATAAAACTGTATAAAAAGTGGTGATGGATGAGCATTCAATTTTCTTGAAACCATTGTATGAGGTCACTTTTATTAACCACTCTTGCTCAAAATCCTTATTTTGAGAATAGTGTAAACCGTAAAATTTTAAGTTATGTGATTTTACTTGTTCAATAGCCCATTTTCAAAATTTGACTTACTACAATCATGTGTAACTAAGAAAAGATAAAAAGATTGAAGACAAGGCTCCAGGGAAACAAAATTTAAATCAATCATTTTTTTTTTTCGTCTTCAGTGCTCTTTTGTTCTTGGTTATAGTTAGGCAGAATAGTAAAAGTGGACTATTATAATAATAATAATAAGTCTTTTGTTTTGAGAGGGTAGCACGTAATAGTCCTTAGACTAATAAACTTGTGGCCCTCTATATATTCACTCATACTCACTACCTCAACATTCATTATTTTACTACACGACACTCCTCACAGCTAGTTTTTGACTGAGGGAGGAAAACCAGCGGACCTGGAGAAAAACCCTCGGAGCAAGGAAGAGAACCAGCCTACAAACTCAAATCACATATAGTCCCGAACCGGGAATCGAACCAGGACCACAGCGGTGATAGACCGGCGTTTTAACCGCTCGGCCATCCTTGCTCCCCTTGCTCCCCTTGACTATTTGATGACAACATTGGGGTGTAGCTAATTCAAGAATAGGAGCCTAGTCCAGGTTCCAGTATAAAAAGATGGAAGAATATTTATAAAATTGTAAATTATTATAGTTACATACATGTCAATCTTATTGTCTCTCAAGTCTAGTATAGATAGACAAGGAAGGCCATTTAAATCACTGCTATCAATCTTACTTATTCTATTGTTGCCAAGATACAGTTCCTGAAAGAAATTATGAACATGTTGTTACATTTGTACATCATTTGAACCCCAGCGTGTTTGGAAATTCGGAAATCCTTCTAAGCACTATAACTTTCCTTTAAATATATATATTTAATATGTTTTTTTTTACTTCACCTCCCTCCTCCCAAATTTCTATTTCTTCCTAAGGCCCACATTTTGTATATTTTTTCTACAGGAAGCCAAAAATCCTATATTCTCCTGAAATCCAAAAAGAATGCCTACTGAGTATCCTAATTAATTCTGAAAGGCAACTTCCAAATACCTTGAGTGAAGTACATTTTGAAAGGCAAGGGAAACTTTCAATCATATTTTGTCTGCAGTCAAGCCTTTTTAATGAATTTGAGTTTCCAAGCTCTGAAAACATTAAATACAAAAAAAAGTTAGAAAACAAAGCATAAAGATATTGATTTGTAAACATCAATATTGCATAGAGCATTAATGTTGAGATGACATTAGTGGTGTAATGATGCATCGAAATAYYGAATAATTGCGATGTCAAAGATGGGATATAAATGCATTGATTGCAATCGATTGCAAAATCACGCTATTGAGAACTATCTTAATACTTAACTTTAACTATCAATAGTTTCAATAGGGTTTTTCTGAATCCTCTGTTGGAAAAGTACGCATACGGGACTTACAGAAACATCGCAGAGAAGACCTATATTTAGCGCTAAATAACGAAAACTGGCATGAAGTTTTCTTTTTTTGCATACAGGACTTACGGAAACATCGCAGAGAAGACCTATATTTAGCACTAAATAACGAAAACTGGCATGAAGGTTTGTCTGCCTGTGAAGTTACGGCTGTAAATAAATTGAAAGTAAGATCTTACATCTTATGGATCGATGTACACCTCAACGAACCGTCAAGATGTCATCAAGAGACCCCCACTGGATGTCCCCTCTATTAAAACTAATGCTGAAAGACAAGTCTAGAATACCTGGCCATAAAACCGATCACTTGAAAGCTATCAATGAGCGAATCTGTGAAGTAATATCAGAAAACAGACGTGATCGTCCAAATAAAGTAGGAAGCCGAAGTTGGTGGCAACATGTTGATTCTACTTCACACCGGCGCAGTTTCTCCATGGGTGTATCCTTTACAAAAACAGAATTGGATGACTTGAACAACTACTTTAGTGTGCTTTGCACAGATAGCACTTACACAGAACCCCAGCTTGYGATTATTGACAGCAACTCAGAAACAMCATATCTAACGGATCTTCAGGTATGGAATTGCTTGTCTCGTTTACATAAAACTGCCACCGGTCCAGACTCCATCCCTTTCTGGTTCTGGAAAGATCATGCTGAAATTCTTGCTCCTGTTGTGGCACACATATGGAATCTATCCTTATCAACATACACATGGCCAGCCTCCTGGAAAAGAGCTAATATCCGACCCCTTCCCAAAGTGGACATCCCAAAAACTACAAACGATTATCGAGGAATAAGTGTCACTCCAGTCATAGCTAGGGCCTTCGAAAGAATCACATATCAATTGTACGTCAAAGAGGTTGTTGAGGACAAGATCAACAGAAACCAATTCGCCTACAGGCAAGGTGGTAATTGTACTAAAGCACTGCTATCGATGCAAAATAATGCACTAAAACACCTTGATGATCCTGCCTGTAAGGCTGTCCGCCTTTTCGCCATGGATTTCAGCAAAGCCTTTGACCCCGTCAAGCACGAGTTGCTTGCGATGAAGCTTAAGGACACTGGTCTTAACGCGTACTTAGTTATTGGTACCTGGATTTCCTGAAAGACAGACATCAGAGAGTGGTATGGAATAACATTGTATGCRAATTTAAGAGCGTCAACAAAGGAACTGTTCAAGGTACTGTCAGCGGCCCTTATCTATTTATTATCTTTCTGAACGATCTAGACATAATGTTTAAGAATGAGTCTTGCATAGTTAAATACGCAGATGATTCCACTTTAATATCGCCGGTTTATGGCTACAATGATTTCTCAGGTAATATAGTTGATCAATTTCTTACTTGGACTAATAATAATCACATGTCATGTAATCCAAGTAAATGTAAGGAGCTAATACTTTATAAGAAAGGTGTGCAAACAGGTTTTTTTAATACCATTGCTGGTATTCCTCAGTGCGATAATTTGACCATCCTTGGGATTGAGTTCGAGGGCAACTGTAGATTTAGTCTGCACGTTAGAAATAAGCTAATCAAGGCCAACAAATGTTTGTATGTACTTAGGTGTTTACATAAGGAGGATTATAACCAGAAAGAGCTTGATCACCTTTTCCATAGCTTAGTTTTACCAAATATTACATATGGTTTATCTGTATATGGAGCAGCCGTTGCTGAATTAACTACCATACAGGCCTTTCTTGATCGCTACTTTAAACGTAAATATATATCCATCAGATTAGACATAAACAAGATCTTAGAACAACAGGACATTCGGCTCTATAAGAAGGCAGCCTCTACTGAAAGTCATCCGCTCTACAGTTTAATACCTAAGCCTAAATCAA